GCTTAAGCCGTTGTTCTCATTTCCACACTTCGACAGTCCTATAACAAGGTGACAATCAAGTTCGACCAGTGAAAACATATTGCCTTCAACTTGAAATCGATGTTTTTTCATTCAGCTACGCAATCCTGGCTCATCAAGTGACGCTAGCTTTGCTGTAACAAATTCGATATTATAGGAAATGTTTTACCGGTGCAATGGGCTAGTGCACAGTACCGATATGCCAGCCCACTGGGGCAAATCGCACCAAAGTTGTGGACGCCTGGAAGCTAGGCGTTAGATTCTCTAATTGGTAGCCTTCCAACCGCTAATTTAGTTGGGCGACTAAATGTTACGACGGGCTATTATTATTTTTACTGCTAAGAAAATATTCTACTGATACAACGACAACGTAATTTAGGAAAAGAAACGTTCCTTGTCATATACTTCTTCCCATTAAGAGTGCACTGCACAGATGCTCGTTTACTGATCTCAGTGACGTGAGATCTGGATTCGAAATCTCCTATGGTCACACCTCGTCTCTAGCAGAACGCAAGCTATAGAACACCATGTTTGAGGGCGGCATGTGAACCAGAATCCGAATAATTACATATCAAGCTTTGTAAAGGCTTTCATTCTATCAAATAGTTTAAACAACCGATCCAGATGAACAGGGGGCCCAAACGAGGCTAACCTCTAGTTCGTTGAACGCATCTCCTAGATAGACCGGCTAGTAGGCCCGGCTATTTTTGAGATCAGAGAAAGCTTACTGATAAAATAAAGCTGACTGTATACATAATAGTCTATTGTTGCTCATTTAAGTATTAGCAACAATGTGATCTCTATGGCAGAACGCAGCCCACATCAGCCACTGTATCAGGAAAGTGAGGTGATCACTTGTTTAAAAGTGTGTAATAAATTTTGCTATAGGGCAAAGATTCAACGAGTAAAATCCTGTTATCTATTTATATATGCAATACAAAATCTCCTTTATCCAAGGGATTATTTTCGACAGTCGTAACTAGCTAAGAACGTGCCAACGAACGAATGAATTATGTATGCGTGTCTCGTATACGCTACTGCCAACGTTCGAACACGCTGACACAACTATGAAGATTATTCATTAATTTCTCAAACACATAATGCAAGATCAATCGCTTCTGCTCAAAACGAGATTTTACAGCGTAGTTTAATACGAACCAAGCGAGAGGATGGGCCGAACGTCAGCTAAAGACGTTATGGGCTATTCGGCGAGCTGGACGCATTCCCTACTACGAATATTATTCGATCTTATTCCGTGACCGTTCTGTCGTTCGAAATTCGTTGTAAATCCACAATGCGATAGCGGCACCATATGTATATGCTACTTATTTTACAAAATTTTTACAAAAATGCAAAACGCTCCGGAAGGAATAAATCCCGTCGGTGAGAGCGAGATCGGTGTGTGCATTTAGGTACCCCAGTGCATTTTGTACAACCTAAAGTATACATCCTATTTTTATCACGGTCTTCGGGATTACTTTGCGAAAACGAGTGCCGCTTTGACCGCTTACGAAATATGCCCATTAACCTTTATAACGTTGTCGAACATAGCTCTGAAATCCCCGTATATTCTGATATGTCAGATGTTGTGCGATAATTTAGAACATGCATCATTGTATTTGGTATTGCCGAACATATATCTCGTTAATGCTATATTATTTATTCAGAAGATTGATAATTTTTTGCAGCTTTAGCTGTTCACTTTAGCTGTTGACGTGTGTGTGTGTGTGTGTGTGTGTGTGTATTATAAGATTTTTTTAATGCCCAGCATACATTTTAGAAGTAAATGTAAGTTGTCGTAAAGAATCCACAGTGAAATCTTTTGCCAATGTCACGTACAATAGTAGACTTAAGCATTAACACTGGGGGGTGAAGAATCGAGCTTCAGAGAAAACGTGACAAAAAAACGTCACAATAGCAACTTGGTATTTTAGCATTTGTAGAATTAGTCCAGCGCCTCTATATTTAGACGTGGAATCGCATGGTCCACCCGACTGAGCGTATGTGAGCCATCAAAAAAACATAACACGCAGAAATACTCGAACAATGGCGGTGGCATCATTTTTGTCCGATAAAACAGAACGCTGTACTCGACGGACCCAATTGGGTGGCAGTTTTTGGCGTTGAACAGGAAATGTATCAAACCATCCTCAAAATGAAAAGCAGGGACGATACATATAGATTCAGCCAAGGTAACCAAATACAATCAAGTGTTATGCCACCAGTGCCACCTTGCTAACAGTACAGAAAACATCATTTGAAGCATATCAGATGGCTGGCTATCAGCACTATACCCGTGCTAAATGTACACGGTTCCGAGTACACTACACACTGATTCAAGATGTTCAAGTTACTGATGGACAAGTTGAACAAGGTTCGGTACATTTATCGATAACTTGTTTTTAAACACTTATAAGTAGCATGCACATCCCTGGCTAAACAAGGCATTATACGAATCTATCTTGGCGACAGCAAGACAAGCTTGATAAAAAATTTGATCAAAAAGTACTGAAATATCATACTTTAAATATTCTTCACAGGTTAGACCCAGTTTGTTGGGTGGCTGGAAAAACTTCGACACAGTTCGAGAACCTAGAATACCAAGAAACTAAAGCGTTTTAACAAGCTGCGATAAAACCATTTAAAAATACACCTGGGCAAAAACATTAACCTATTTTATTATCGCAACAAAAGTTGTAATCAGCTGAGCCTGCTAACATCGCCAACAATATGTACATCGTTAGCATTACAGATACTGCAAAAAAAATAAATAAATAAAGATCGTCGGACAACTTAATTCTGTGAACGTACTTGTCTAGAGACAATCGATGTTGATGAATAGGAAAGACCGGAAGGCCATTATAAGTAACAGTATTTGATCAACCGTATTGCAATGTATCATAACAAAATGTGTTGGAAGACATTTTGAGAATGCATTGAAACAACACCAGCCATAACATTTTCAGCCATTTTTCCTCTGCAAAACGACCCGCAGCTGTCATTGTGTTGTGACCTGATCGTTTTTGTTTTAACTGAAGGTCTGCTCATCTCTGTGCTGTGCCAATATCGATTTCTCGATAGAAATCTCTGGTCATTAATCAGATCTCGACGCCGTCGTCGTAGTATCCCCGGTGGCGTAATTGGTTAACGCGCGGTACTTATGTGGCAGTCGCCGTGAGCAATGCTGAGATTGTGAGTTCGAATCTCACCTGGGGAATAATCTTTTTGATCTGATCTACAGGCGGTCGTACATTATCAAAGACATATGTTACTCCTCTAGATTTTAATAGATATCTTATGTTGGTAGTTGGCTTCCATATTCAGTATGATCGATTCAACTGCATATTGGAACCGATCTTGCACCGTTTACGGTAGAAGGTAGAGTCGTTCAGAGGGAAGGGTTTTCTAAAATGTCGTACGTATAACTATTACTGGCAATCCACGTTAACTGGATCAAATACTATCGAATAGTATTTGATTTAAACGGACACGTTTATCTTATACATCTACTATTAAGATTTACGTTAGTATGTACGTCTTTATTAAAGGTTTGTTATCAGCGTTCGTACACTGATAAAGAGGTTGGTAATAGTTCAGTTATCGTTAGGAGGTGCGCCGACGACAGGGCAACAAAGCGCCCTTTAAACAAGAAATTTTCAATATGTTTTTGCATGAACATCATGACTCTGAGAAAGATTATGCGATTCAGGCTTTCTTTCTTGTCCTCAACAAGGTTTATCCGGAAATCACAAGCATCCATACGTAAATACGCTGCCATACCGAATATGACGCGACAATTTAAGCTAAAAACATTTTACGCTAACCGTCGTGGCGCCAGGCAGATACTTACTGCTGCAGTATCAATTCCAGTCAAGCCAGCCTTCGAAACAGAGACAAATGGTACAGGATACGATTCACATATAATACGGTCTATTTAGATAAACAGGAGGGGCAATAGCGACGCATTGATATTAAAGTAATTCAAGTTAAAAATAAATATTTTCATTTCGAAACATATTTAGCTAGCATATTAAAACAAATTACCAAAAATTTTGATGGATAATTAGAAAATTATACCAAAGCTTTTGACATACCGCTGAGATTCTTCTAAAATCAATTCTTTTGTTCAAACTCTTCTCATTAACCCTAATCAAACTAAGCTTACGTTTATTTATTTCTATATTATATATTTCTTTTCAAATACTACAATTTGATTGGATTGGATACAAACAAACTGGAATAAGTTTATCAAACTGACTATAGTCTATAAATTTTTTAAGGGAGAACATTGCAGAGTTTTTTTTTTTAATTTTTTTGTAGTTTTTCTATAGAAAAGGTTTTTAAAAAAATACGCTTAGCAGCTCTCGGAGTACACAAGCTTTCTCAAATAGGAAGTAACAAAGCAAAGGGTGAGGCTAATAGTAAGGCATATTTCTTGATTCGAGTAAAGTTAAAGTTGCGACTCCAATCGTCGTCTAAAATCACTTTAAATAGCCCAGCGGTGATCTCTTTGCCCGTAAAGCTTAGAGATACGTGATAGTCTAGATAGAACTCCGAACGTAGGCACATTTTGTTTTACGCTCGGATTAGCCGTGTGGAGTGATGTCTAATGGTCGAGGTATCGGACAAAAAACACGAGCAACAGACATACCTGTCTCAATTCGTTTTATCTCAAAATGATCATTGATTCTACAGTTTACAGCTAATTGTTTACGTACTTCATACGGTTTCCAGTCGAACAGCACGAAAGTTGTCAGCAACGACAGATGACTAATTCAGTGTCCGTATATAGAAATTGTGTAGAAACAGCGTTGTCACTTGACAGTTTTAATACACGATCTGGCTCGTATTAATCTGAATGTCTATTACGAGACATGATCGTGTAGTTCCTTTTCTAGACTAGCAGATAGAACACTTTAAACGAAGTATTACATATATGTTTTGTTTCTTAAGTTTTTTTTTAAAACTTTCAACTATTCCAGTTCCGGGGTTTACGTGCGCTGAAGGCTGCGGAATGGTGACGCCAAGATTAGGCAGGACCTGTCAACGATTATGGCGGGAACTTTTCTACATCGGGTAGGTATGTCGCTACGAAGATGGTGAAGTAAACTATGCAATAGATATGGATAGTGTAAAAGTATATTTAGCCCTAATAGCGACTTTACGCTTATTCCGTATAAAATAGGGTAAAGAAGTCGCATTTTAGTCGAACTTGAAACACCTTTTCGTGTTTTTTTTTATTATGCTAAAAATGCAGTGACCGTGTAGTTGTTAAAAAAAAAAAATTATAAATATGAATAATGTTCAACTCGGATATTTTTTCTTGTTATTTTTTTATATTAATATCTAATTTGATTAGCCGCTAGGGCAGTCGGTGGTCGTATTGCAAATATGTCTTTCGCCCTTGCCATTGTCAAGAGCTTAAAAGTTATACACTTATTTCAAAAAGGACTATACTGTAGTTATTTTTACCCTACCTTTTTTCATATTTACACCGAAAAAAGCAATTAATTTCTTGTGCCTATCCTATTATAAACAAGCATTTTTGCGGTCAACATCGCTTATCAATGTCCTGTTCTATAAAGTTCTTTTTTAGCGTAAGATTCATTCTATAGCAAATGGCTTCCTTAGCCCGATGCTTTCCTATGAGATAGCCATTCAGCCACTGATGGCACGGCTTTCACAAGTAGTTTTTTCTAGCCATGTAAAAGAAATTATTGTTATCCTGATTAAAGGCTATTTATCTGCGCACCTATTACGGGGCAACCTGATGTGGCTAGTCAATCGGGCCTGATGCTGGTCTTTACTCTCTGTTACCGCAAAATTGTATTGGAAACTAACATATTATCCCCACTGTCTATATATATATATGTAGGTATTTATTTAAGCATCCCTGTATGTATCTAGGCATCACTGATAATGGACATTTTCTCTATAAAATGTTCGTTGTACACCTAGTTTGTATAGTATATATTAAAAAAAGCTCAATATCGATCCGGGGCAAAAGGGCGAAAGAAGGCTACATTTGCGATCTTATATTAATTATACCTGAATTTTTGCTATTAACGAAGATATTCCGTAACAATTTTTATTATCTTAATATTGCAGTTTCTTCGTAATGGAAAAATACCTCAACTGAGATGTCCTCTCTATCATATGGATTTCATTGGTACTATAGCTATATATCTCTTACTATCCGCCTGATAGTAGGCCCAGTGTTACTGCTATTTTATTAATATTTAAGATTTGGAAAGAAAATCACTGTCTCACAGTTATACACTGCTGTTTGTTATGATATTTATTTGTTTTCCTCCTATAATAATTAAATGCGGCTATCCTCATCTGCTCGTCCACATTGTCACGAATCAAAAAAAACCCACTGGTTATTCATCCATCATGCCGCAGCACTTAAGCAGAAAAACGCATGGAACGACAACGCAGCTTAGCCATTACAAAACAAAACAAATCGCACGAGCAATTCATAACGTTTCCCATTGCCATGGGGTGTTTGTGTTTCTCAACGGATATTTGCTATCTGCAGCATTTTTTTTTTTTTTTACAGATTTATACGTCAGGCGTCACTCCGCACGACTGCCTGGCTGTCAACAGAGATATTCCCGCTGCCTTGCCTCAACAACGGTATCTCTATGAAACTTAGTTACCCCTTTTCTCTTGGGTCACTCATCAGGGCTTCCATATCTCCTTCATGTAATGCTTCTGCACAAACAACTTCTACCTGTTCATCCTTCCGAAATTCAACGTCGTCTGCTCGCCACTCGACATTTCTTATAGGAATTGAGGATTTGCTCGTTCTTAGTCCTATTTTTAAAAACAGGAGGCTGTTGCCCTTTGTGTGCGTACGCTTGTTTGGCTGAAAGGCAGGTAAAGAAGAGAAATTCGGTCGGCAGTGGAAGCTGACACGACGTAGCAATAGTGGAGCCAGCTCGCAACGACGAGCAACTAGTTTGGGTCAGTTTCATATCCAGCGTTGCAAATCTATCGTGTTGGCGAATCAGCACATGCTGGGTTCTGTCGTCTCTACGTGCGCCCAGCGTCCTCGTTCGTCGCCCACTTCCAACACGGCAATAGTGAACCGCCGATTGCCTCGATTCAGCTATATATCCAATAATACCAGCTATTTAGATCGCTCAATGAAATCTGTCCTTCACCGAGTGACAGGGTGATAATTCTATCGGTTCATACTACTACTCTCACTCGATAGAGTATAGATTACGTATGACAGCCTCTTAACCAATGAAGATTTCAAGACAGAAAACATAAACAGTGGACTCTTAAAGAATGGAAACGAATGGCAGCAGAAATGCCGTCAAGAGAAAACACGGGGTTATTTACATGACTACATAGGGAAGCGCAAACGATATTAAAGGGGTATCACTCACTCCCCATTTGGCCAGCTATAGTACCTCTTAACGTTCACCCTCGTCGTCACTTGTTACAAATTACAATTATGCAACGCTATACTGCCTGTGCATTGATGTGTTCGGTATTGATTAAAAAGATGTGTGCAAATACTTGTACCTTTCATTCGGAGCGATGTAACGCAGGATACTAGACGTGTGTTTATGTTATAGCGTTCCGCTCGTTCGTGCCGTTCTAAAAATTCGCCATTCCCATTGTAAAATCGTGCGAACATACATATATGTATGCCTCCCCCTACATATACTGCACGTAGGTTTTTGCGCGTGCCCTATATAGGCTTGTGCGTTAGCTGTGATCGGTTCATATCGTAGAATCGTGCAGACACAATCTCAACAGCCCGAAAAGCTGATTGTGACTAATTGTGATTGTGACATAATATTATAAACCGCGTCTTGGCGATGGATAAACATGTAGGTGACGGCTGGCCCATTAACAGGGAGCTATATATATATATATATATATAGATGGACTAGTTTTTGGCCACTCATGTCGTCTACAGCTGCAGCTGATTACGTTATCAGCGGTAAGTGGATCTGATGATTGTACGAACGGGCAGGAGTATTAATTATGCAGACGCTGGATCGAGCATTTACAGCATAATGAGATGCTAGCCTATGTGTTTAGTTTCTGTGACTTTTCCACATTCATATTGTCAAGCGCGGATAGACAAAAACAATGATACGAACAAATGAATCGAACATAAAATGGAGCCATGTGTCGTCCACCATCTTGTGTGTGATATAGTTTAATGTTTGTATTGAAGTACCAATGATCCTTGCGCTCGTCCCATAGATAACGCAATTTTCAAGCTTGACTTCTCCGACGGCCGCACGCGCACAATTATCATTGTGTTATCATTGTGCCGATACCCCTCAAGTTTAGCATTGCGTTTGCGCGTCAGAACTGAATTCATTGACCACGTAAATTATTCCAAGTCCATTGGCATCAGCTTAGGTTCACGTTTATCCAGGATCTGGGGGCGTAGATTTTTCAATTCGTTCTTCGTGTGCAAAAAAATTTTCACTCTAAAAAAGGTACACTGGCCATTTTCTAGAAGAATTTTTTCGTGTTCACATAAAAGGGAGTAGGAAAGCTGATGATCGCTGATTTACGCGGAGTGCACAGCGGCTGACGTTATTTCCGAACAACTATTTCAAATCAAAATTTATACATCTCAAATTAGCCATTTTAAGTAACATCTAAGGCTATGCTTAAGCGGCAATATGTCGTATAAATGTTTCTCTTTACTCGTACACATATGCCACAGGTTATCGTACGCGACGCAAGATAGTACTGCTATCTATCTTCAATCAACGTATTATCCGCTAAAATTGTGTTGACAGTTGGGGAAAAATGAATGGAATGGGAAAATAACTCGAGCCTCGCTCCACGGTCGCATAAAACAGCGTCTCAAAAACACAGTATTACAGATAACATTAAAAAATTATGCAGTGCTTTAATCTCGTCGATAGTGGCAAAGGTCTTATGCGTTTCCAAGCAAAGCTTCATTGATTTTTTTGATGTGCCACTTGCAGCAGAAAATAAATGCAAATTTATTACAAAACTTTCGACATATTCCAGGGTATTAATTGAAAACATCAGCTCACCCGTAAATTCAGATTTTCGCTTCATTCAGACGACGTCCAGCTATCGGACAGCTGAAGTAGTGCTCAACCAGCGCCGAACTGTAAAACGTGTGGACAACACGCTGGCAGCGTTGGCAATGTTACCACGTGTGGTCGGCGACGGATTTTGCTCGGAGAATAGCACTCAGCAAGAATAGGATCAATTGAAACAGGGCAACACTGGTGATAGTAGCAAGCACACAGATCGAGTCGTCCAAAATCGCCAAGTGTTACGCCAGGCGACACCCGCGGCGCTAGTGGACGCCCATCGGACTCCCGTAGAGAAAAGTGCGTCATCGAACTTAACTCGACGTTCTTCTGTTGGGTTCGTCCACAAATCCCACATTATGTCGATACGTTGTAGGCGTGTTCTGTGGACTATCGATGGTGGCAGCAACGCTGGTTAGCGTTTAATTGATCATAATACAATAAAGTAAATAGAAACATCGGACTCCGGGCTATCAGACTAACAGCCAAAGTAGTGTCTTATCAGATCTTGCTTTGGTGCTGGACCTTCTTCGATAAGTGGCTTGTACACTGTCGTGAGTTTGTGTTATATTAGTACATGTGCGCGTCACAGATTGGGGCAAAAAAAAGCGAGCGTAAGAGAATTTGTTTGTTATGTTCTGCGACGAACAGAACGTCATGATAACAAACGGACGTTGTCTATCCAATACATGCGTCTACTGTAGATCGGCTAGCTTGATATGCGTTATGTCGGAACTTGAGCAAGGTATCACACCGCGCCTAGAAAGACATAAAAGAAAGTCACGCAAGTTGCGCATGGTAAAAGAAGGATCGTTGGAGTGACTATCTGACAAATTTACGCAAACGAATTGGGAGACTTTGTCTATTGAGTTCTTACTTGCAGACGTTTGTTGTCTCCCCGGATCTCAGCTCTGCCATCTGCGTCGCTTGCTACAGCTTTCAGTCCTAAAATGACCCGTCTAGTTTGAGTTGCTCCTGGGGGCTTCCTTTGTTGCGGTGCTGTTCGACTTACAATGACGAAAGGTAACCGCCCATACGTCAATATGCATTAGCACTATCGTTTTTAATAGTGAAGTAAAACAATTGCAGTGGGCTACGCGTCCGCCGTCTTTCCTTAGCCCAAGCAGGCGAGAACCATTGAAAGGGTTGTTGACAATTCGGGTCTGGCTTTGTCAACCACGCTGCATCGAGGGTACGTCCAGCGACTATCTAACGAAACACTCTGGGGTCCTTGCATTGCCTCTGATTGAAGCAAACGCTTTGTGATATGTATAGCCGGCACATATTAGTTGGATATGCCAACGCTTATTAAATTCGGCGACTTTTGTTTAGACACACTTTGACATCGTTTCTTATATCCGACTCGTATAAATCCACACTCGTTCGTTTGTTAAACGCCAGACATAGATAGTAAGTGGTGCTTTTCAGCGCTTTTGAGGTAATGCCGTACTGCCGCTGCGGTCGTCGACTGCCATTGGCTCTACAGCTCATCCGGTGACAAAATTTCGTCACCGGTGCGATCGCGGCCAGACGCAACGGGAACGGCCATCAGGAAAAAAAAACAGGTAGGTAGAAGTTTACGAAATGTAGTAGCACAACGGGCCGTATCAAAAAATACATGCAAGGCAAATCAGCAAAGATTAAAGATGTGGAGCCGCCAGGAGCTTATCGCAGTCGTTCGCTGAACCGTCTTAGTCGACTTGTATTCTCAGATATAGATTAATGCAAATCTTCCATTATATGAAAATGATATACAATTAGATGTTCTTACTTTTCTGGTGACGATTTGTTCATCTAAAGACCGTTCTCGTTTTGTTCGGGACAACCCGTTTATCCTATTTCGTTAGGCGTTTACCATCTGCTGAGGGGTGCGCAGCTGTCAATGGCGTTGCCTTCATTAGCGTTTTGCTTTCCGTTTGACAAAGGGAAGAAGATCCCATTTGAACAATTTGTTGCCGCTTAAAAGGTAACTACGTGCAGACGCCAAGGTAACCTTCGGAGTGACGCAGTAAAATTGTTCTGTTTCATCAAGCTTCATTATTTAAATATACACCACAATATAAATTTTCTTTTCGCTCTCGGCGACAGGCTTAATAAGAAAAAAAAAAGTCATC